TGGAGCAGAAGACGCTTACTCTGCCAGAACGCCTGTTCTCATGTTTTTCCCTTAATATATTGCGTTCTGGTTTTATCAAATCTGAGTTTGAATTATGATACCGTTGGCGTGTCGGTATTTTCCTTGATCAATCCAGGTAATTAATGTCACGTTCCCAAACAAGAACAAGGCAAACAACAACGGCATTTACTAATTCGTGGCTGACAAGGTCTAGTGGTACTATTTCAAGATTTTACTTGTATCATTTGTGTCGTTCTACCTTTTCTGTTTGAACAAATTTCTTATTATTGGACAAATTGCTGGACAAGAAGCGACTACATTGTAACTAAACGAAGAGTCTAATTGTAATCGTTAATCACGCATGAAATGGTACACCTGAATAATTTTTTTTGTACTTAAAATGATCGATGATTCAAGTTTAGAGAGATGTCTAGATGTTTGGTGCAGTCTAATTCAATTCCTGGATAATTCAAAGGTTTATTAACTTTTGTTTGATTCTAGAGAGCTTGTGATGATGACTAAAATCACTTTATAGAATTCCATTATTATGTTTTGAATTATGTTTTAACATTTCCTTACCTCTGTCAACCATATCCAAAGAGTGATCAATCCCTTTTAATCAGCTTCCTTTCTTCTGGATAATGTTTTCCTAAAGAATTCTTAGCCCTCCTCCAATTGAATACCTCCCAGTCCTGAAATTCATATTTGAAACTATATATCTATATAACACAACTGACGAAGGAAGGCAATTTTTACTCGTACCCTCCTCGGGCCTACAAACTCACGACCTACGGCAACAGATTGCCTAGCCAAAAAAATTAACAATTGCCTTACCAACTACACCAACATGACATCTCCAAAAAAGGATGTTTGGAAGTTGTAGTGATGGGCAGCCAATGAAGGATACTTGGCCGCCTGTGACAGCTCTCGAATCCTCGAGATGTTCGTACTCGCTTGTATGTAAAGATACTTTATTTTTCCAATACAGTTCATGTTCCCTATTGTTAGCATTTCGTTCTATTTTGTAGATATTTTGTCATCCTATTCCAGTTTAATACACATACATTTGTATTACTTCCCACTTTGTCTTTGTTCCATGATGGCTATACAGATGGAGGGCTGATTTTTGTAAATCAATACACCAAGATCACACTCCTCCAATGTAAGACCTTATTGGGTCGTTAAAGTTCTCAACATTAAATCTGTTCGATATTTCAATCTGATTTAGTGACAATCAGCAAACCTTCTTTATGATATTTTTGGTACATGAATTAGCTGCTTCTGTTTTAATATACATCTTCATCGTTATATATATTTCATCCCGCGCCTCCTAGGTATAACATTTAGGTTTTAGCATCACTGACGAGTCCTAGGGGCTCGAAACAGCTGTATGGTGCAGTTCAACGCATTGTTTGGCTTTACTGTATCTAATTCTTTTGTATTGAAAGGTCTTATTCATTTGTGTGACTTTCGTATAACCATAACCTGACGCTATCCAAAATGGAACGTTTCTCAACTAATGTATTTGACGCAGAATTTTATTTTAGAATGCAAGTGAATATAAATTTAATTAAGCAAGAAATATTTTTTATGAATTAGTATGACATTTTTTATCAGATTAACATGGCAGTGTCGTTGATGATGCTTCCGGGACACCTGGTCTTACTCTGCTTGTACTATTTCCGGGAGTCTCCATAAAGACCTTTCTTGTGTTCATATTTATTCCTCGTTTTATCGAATTCGAACTCTCGTGATATAACAGTAATCCTGATTAACATTATTCTTATGATATGAAAATAATTTTCCATTTTGACATTGTTTTGTTTTCCCTTTTTTTCTATCTTTTTTTTTTGTTTGCTCTATTTCCTGTATCGAAGGATTTTTTTACGTCATTCTATTCGAACCTTCCTTTTTCGTTCCTGTATAATTTTTATCACATCAACATTTATTGAATAATATTTACGCCTACTGTGTGGATAATTCGCGATCAATACGGAGATTCAACAAAGTACGAACTCAAGTACCTATTTTGATTGTAGTTATTCGGTACAAAACAAATAAAATACCCTTTTCGTTTTTGAAGTAAGAAATATAAGCTTTCTTAGATTACTAAACTTTAGTACATTGTATGTGCTAACGAGTAACAATCGGTGGAACTTGGGCCTTACTATTGAACTCCAACCCATATAATCAATTTACTATCCCCGATCAAAAATTTGTATCGCCTTCATAATGTTGATTTCAGGCCTGAAACAAGAGGGACGTTAACTTTTGAGTCTCCCGGAGATTTGTACGAACATTCTATGATACCAAGTTCAGTTAAATATTAAGTTGTATAAAATGGAATGTCATTTTGTTTAAGATAATCTTGATACTTACTTCTCAATCAAAGAAAATGCTATTATATACGTTTTTTGCTAAATGCTATTATATATGTTTTTTGCTAAATGCTATTATATACGTTTTTTTTGCTAAATGCTATTATATATGTTTTTTGCTAAATGCTATTATATACGTTTTTTGCTAAATGCTATTATATACGTTTTTTTTGCTATTGAAATGAAAGCTTGACAACCAAATCATTGGTAGCCATTTTATTACACGATACCTGCGTTATTATGAAAAATCAATCTATTTTGGAATACCGGTATTTATTTTTGTCGGTTAGATTACCAAGGCGAAGATCCGAGGTACGGGGTTTAAGTACTCCCTTTCGAGTCAGTTTGTGTTTCTCAAGAGAATGAAAAGTGGACCGGTCAATACTGATGTGTTTATGACATTAGGTAAGACATTGTATCGTGATTATTTCGGAAGACATTCGACGGGCGTCCCGTATGTTGTTCAGGAGGGTAGCCACAAACTAGCACTACACATTACTACATGTACTCTGTTCATGAAAGACACGAGATATATCATAGATGTCTGAGCCAGGTAATGATACAATGTAAAGTAACTTTAAAGACTCGCAATGATTATGTTAAATATATCTACTATTCTCCTTAGATAGATGATTTAAGACGAGACCTAATGAATTCACTTTTGTGAGGAAAATTCAATTATTTCATTAAACAGTAATGGTGTGAACTGTCTTTAATTACAAATTATCATTAAAACAAAACTACACTTTATCACTGTTAAGAGACATCTTGCAAGTAACCAAACCTGATAATTTAAAATTTCAAATACAATGTTAAGACGTTTAACGCGGTATAATGATATTACTGAAACAGGCCTTTCGTATAACATGAAGTAAAACCAAGTTACTTGTAAACTTTAACAATAGTAAACATTTCGGCAAGTCCAGGATAATATATAGTGACATCTTACTGGCTGTTGACATCAGTCCTTTCTTATTTCTGACTTCTGTTCTATTTTTCCCACCCTTTCCACTTTCTCGTATTAGTACTGTAGATATACATGTTTGAGTGGTAATTTTATTTTAGCGCTTTTCGTGTATAACATACTGAGTCACTGCACTAATTGCAGTTTAAGTATTGCGTTATAATAGCATTTACTGAAAATGCGCATTTTCATCATTGCGCCAAATGGAATGTGCGCTAGAAGCTGATTACACTACAATAAGTACGCTTACAGTAATATATAAAATAATATGTATAGGTTATAGCATTGCAATTTTTTGTTAATGTAAACTTGTAGGATGAAAATGACATTGATAAGTAGAAAGGCGCTTACTCTTTCGGAACACCTGGTCTTATTCTCCTTTTACTTTTTCACGGAACCTGAAATTGGTTCCCGGTTCCTAGTTCCTAGTTTCGTTAAAACTGAAACGTAACTCTGATCCGATTCCAAGTTATATTTTATTAAACGGAATTGAGTGCTAAGATCTAGGAACCAACATCAGGCGCCCATAGTTTTAGTAGTCTCCTTGTAAATCTGTCTTTTGTTCATATTCTGCTTCTTTTTTTTTTTTACTGATTTTGAGTTTGGATTAAGGCTATATTTTCTCTTTTGGTATTTTATTGGTATTTTTGTGTTCGCTTCCTTTGTGTAATATTTCCGCCATGCAATATTTGTTTAAATTTAAATAACGAGACATGCTTTGGACTTGCGTAATACCGAGGGATTAAACAACTGTGATATATTGCATTACAATATCACCGAATCAAAAATATAAAACGCCTTGTATCCATTGGTTTATTTTGGCATATGATATGGATATTATTTACACCTGTAGTTACCTGTACAGGAACAGTGAAAGAATATGGTTTGGTGTATGTCTCGAGGCCACTAACTGTGGGCCCATGGGAAGTGGTTTCTCCTATGCCTCTATTTAGTGGACATCAGAGAGCCCAGTGATAAGGTCTGCTGTATTCCATCACATGATCGTATGAGGCAACTTAAAGTAAAACCCAAGAATAATCGGGAGTTTCTTTCATATACAGTGCCAAGTGGGCTTCGAAGAGATAAATAGATTTGCTGCCCCCAATCTGAAACAACAGAGATATCGATATTTCCTTTTCTTTCCTATCTTGCCCTTCCTGTCTATTTATTGTTTTCCACTCTTGGCGTTCCTCTTGATACCTATCTTCATATGACTCTGGCTGTTGCATGGACGTCAACAAAACAAACCAAATATTTTGTTTAGCATATCAATGAGTATAGCTGTATACGGAAATTTCATATTTCACTTTCACTTTTCAATAGTATTGTGATGTATAAATATATGGCAATCTTAATCCATTTTTTCTTTCTTATTTAAAAAATGATAATGATAAGAATAAACAGCCATTTCGAAACTCGTGACCTTCTTAAGAAAGTATTTTTATTTGTTGTCTCTCCGATGAATAACGACGATAAAATCGTTGTCATGTAGTTAAGTCATACTTTTTCGTTGTGATTAAATTAAATCTCGTGGACATGTTTAAAAAAGTAAATATGATGATACTCCAGAAAAGCTCTAGTAGTTAGCATCATTTCAATGATACATGGATTTTCTGAGTAATTTAAAAATTAATTGACAGGAAAATCTCAAGATAATGAACTATTTTACAGCATTTATTAATATTTTATTGCGTTTTATTGTTACGTAATCTGTTAGGTAAACTTCAGGTTTTTCCTAAACTAAGGTTTCGATAGTTGCGCCATAGATAGAGCATATTTTATCCTCTTTTGAAAAATTTGATTTGATTTTCAAATTTGATTTATGCAGTATCCAAAGCTCTCTATCAGTCTTCTGCCAGCAAATGCAGTATTCCTGACACAGCAGCTGCAGGTTATTTAAAGGTTTGTCGTTCAACAAAACATACAAATATTGATCTTCATCAGGAAGCCATAAATATGCGTAAATCGGAAACTAAGTAAACCGAAGGATGTTTATTTTTCAGAAATAAATCAAACATGAAATATCATAGCAAATTGTTTACACAGAAAAAGAAGTTCAGTCACATGCGAAGAAGAAATCAGCACTCGAAAAGTAAAAATATACAAATTTCGAATAATTTTTTGATAGAACGAAATTGATGAATTTATGAAAGTGGAAAGTTTTTCTTTTTTGAAATGCAATAAAGATTTAAGACTGATTTTTAAAATTACTTGAATGAAATGATTTTGACTTTCATTTTTCATATCTATGCCATGAGGTCGGCAAAGTCTTCAAATTCCACCTCCCCTCGGAGTTTGAAAGGTTGTTTTTGTAGGAGTTCCGACACAAGCGAGTACGTCTTAAGGTCTGCAACGGTTCCACAACCAGGAGCCAGGCTTTGTACCCGAGGTAACATACAGCGGATTGCAGCTTTGCTTTGACTTTGTTAGACAAAAGAAGAAGAGAGAGGGGAAAAAGGATAATTTTACTCGTGTAAATGTCTTGTAGCTTCAGTTATGAAATGTTTACGTAAAAATCAAACAGCGGTGAGATTTGTCAACATGTTACCTGGTATACGAAATATTTATCAAAAGTGCAATTAAATGAAAAAAAGACAGATGATCTATTAATTAAAGAAATATATTTCCTTTTATTGGAGCTTTTGACACTGCGATTATATACAATCTGGAGCTGAGTCAGATTGGTAGCCAAACTGATGCTTACATGTTTTTTGTTTCCATGTCAGTTTCCAACGTCCGTTCAGGATACAAAGGAACAGCAACGTCAAACAGGGCATCCGTCTCACAGTCCGTCATTATGTTATTGTATGCGGATGAACATTCAATTGATTTATTCACCCGTACAAAGGATCCGAGAGCTAGAAAAATATAAATAATGAATAAATGAGCCCAACATCGAATTAATTCAGCACGTGTTCAAGTTTGGTCTCGGTTAGGCGCTTAGTTAAAGAACTAATGTTCACCAGCTACAAGGTTACAATAGGAACTTATGTTCACCAGCAACAACGTTAAAATGGGAACTAATGTTCACCAGCTACAAGGTTACAATAGGAACTAATGTTCACCAGCTACAAGGTTACAATGGGAACTAATGTTCACCAGCTACAAGGTTACCATGGGAACTAATGTTCACCAGATACAAGGTTACCATGGGAACTAATATTCACCAGCTACAAGGTTACCATGGGAACTAATGTTCACCAGCTACAAGTACAAAGTTACCATGGGAAATAATGTTCACCAGCTACAAGGTTAACATGGGAACTAATGTTCACCAGCTACAAGTACAAGGTTACAATGGGAACTAATGTTCACCAGCTACAACGTTACAATGGGAACTAATGTTCACCAGCTACAACGTTACAATGGGAACTAATGTTCACCAGCTACAAGGTTACAATAGGAACTAATGTTCACCAGCTACAAGGTTACAATGGAAACTATTGTTCACCAGCTACAAGGTTACCATGGGAACTAATGTTCACCAGATACAAGGTTACCATGGGAACTAATGTTCACCAGCTGCAAGTACAAGGTTACAATGGGAAATAATGTTCACCAGCTACAACGTTACAATGGTAAATAATGTTCACCGGCTACAAGTACAAGGTTACAATGGGAACTAATGTTCACCAGCTACAAGGTTACAATGGGAACTAATGTTCACCAGCTACAACGTTACAATGGGAACTAATGTTCACCAGTTACAAGGTTACATTCGGAACTAATGTTCACCAGATACAAGGTTACAATGGGAACTAATGTTCACCAGCTACAACGTTACAATAGGAACTAATGTTCACCAGTTACAAGGTTACAATGGGAACTAATGTTCACCAGCTACAAGGTTACCATGGGAACTAATGTTCACCAGATACAAGGTTACCATGGGAACTAATATTCACCAGCTACAAGGTTACCATGGGAAATAATGTTCACCAGCTACAAGTACAAAGTTACAATGGGAAATAATGTTCACCAGCTACAAGGTTACCATGGGAACTAATGTTCACCAGCTACAAGTACAAGGTTACAATGGGAACTAATGTTCACCAGCTACAACGTTACAATGGGAACTAATGTTCACCAGCTACAACGTTACAATGGGAACTAATGTTCACCAGCTACAAGGTTACAATAGGAACTAATGTTCACCAGCTACAAGGTTACAATGGAAACTAATGTTCACCAGCTACAAGGTTACCATGGGAACTAATGTTCACCAGATACAAGGTTACCATGGGAACTAATGTTCACCAGTTACAAGGTTACAATAGGAACTAATGTTCCTAATGTTCACCAGCTACAACGTTACAATGGTAACTAATGTTCACCAGCTACAACGTTACAATGGTAACTAATGTTCACCAGTTACAAGGTTACAATGGGAACTAATGTTCACCAGATACAAGGTTACAATGAGAACTAATATTCACCAGCTACAAGGTTACCATGGGAACTAATGTTCACCAGCTACAAGTACAAGGTTACAATGGGAAATAATGTTCACCAGCTACAAGGTTACAATGGGAACTAATGTTCACCAGCTACAACGTTACAATGGGAACTAATGTTCACCAGTTACAAGGTTACATTCGGAACTAATGTTCACCAGATACAAGAATACAATGGGAACTAATGTTCACCAGCTACAACGTTACAATAGGAACTAATGTTCACCAGTTACAAGGTTACAATGGGAACTAATGTTCACCAGCTACAACGTTACAATAGGAACTAATGGTCACCAGCTACAACGTTACAATGGGAACTAATGTTCACCAGCTACAAGGTTACAATAGGAACTAATGTTCACCAGTTACAACGTTACAATAGGAACTAATGTTCACCAGCTACAAGGTTACCATGGGAACTAATATTCACCAGCTACAAGGTTACCATGGGAACTAATGTTCACCAGCTACAAGTACAAGGTTAAAATGGGAAATAATGTTCACCAGCTACAAGGTTACAATGGGAACTAATGTTCACCAGCTACAAGGTTACAATGGAAACTAATGGTCACCAGCTACAACGTTACAATGGGAACTAATGTTCACCAGCTTCAACGTTACAATGGTAACTAATGTTCACCATCTATAAGTACAAGGTTACAATGGGAAATAATGTTCACCAGCTACAACGTTACAATGGTAACTAATGTTCACCAGCTACAAGTACAAGGTTACAATGGGAAATCATGTTCACCAGCTACAAGGTTACAATGGTAACTAATGTTCATCAGCTACAAGTACAAGGTTACAATGGGAACTAATGTTCACCAGATACAAGGTTACAATGGGAACTAATGTTCACCAGCTACAAGGTTACCACGGGAACTAATGTTCACCAGTTACAAGGTTACAATAGGAACTAATGTTCACCAGCTACAAGGTTACAATGGGAACTAATGTTCACCAGCTACAAGGTTACAATAGGAACTAATGTTCATCAGTTACAAGGTTACAATAGGAACTAATGGTCACCAGCTACAACGTTACAATGGGAACTAATGTTCACCAGCTACAAGGTTACAATAGGAACTAATGTTCACCAGTTACAACGTTACAATAGGAACTAATGTTCACCAGCTACAAGGTTACAATGGGAACTAATGTTCACCAGTTACAAGGTTACCATGGGAACTAATGTTCACCAGCTACAACGTTACAATAGGAACTAATGTTCACCAGATACAAGGTTACCATGGGAACTAATGTTCACCAGCTACAAGGTTACCATGGGAACTAATGTTCACCAGCTACAAGGTTACAATGGGAACTAATGTTCACCAGCTACAAGGTTACAATGGGAACTAATGTTCACCAGCTACAAGGTTACAATAGGAACGAACGTTCACCAGCTACAAGGTTACAATGGGAACTAATGTTCACCAGCTACAACATTACAATGGGAACTAATGTTCACCAGCTACAAGTACAAGGTTACAATGGGAAATAATGTTCACCAGCTACAAGGTTACCATGGGATCTAATGTTCACCAGCTACAAGGTTACAATGGGAACTAACGTTCACTAGCCACAACGTTACAATGAGAACTAATGTTCATCAGCTACAACGTTACAATGAGAACTAATGTTCACCAGCTACAACGTTACAATGATAACTAATGTTCACCAGCTACAACGTTACAATAAGAACTAACGTTCACTAGCCACAACGTTACAATGGGAACTAATGTTCACTAGCAACAAGGTTACAATGGGAACTAATGTTCACAAGATACAACGTTACAATAGGAACTAACGTTCACCAGCTACAACGTTACAATAGGAACGAACGTTCACTAGCCACAACGTTACAATGAGAACTAATGTTCACCAGCTACAACGTTACAATGGGAACTAATGTTCACCAGCTACAAGGTTACCATGGGAACTAATGTTCACCAGCTACAAGGTTACAATGGTAACTAATGTTCACCAGCTACAACGTTACAATAGGAACTAACGTTCACTAGCCACAACGTTACAATGGGAACTAATGTTCACTAGCAACAAGGTTACAATGGGAACTAATGTTCACAAGATACAACGTTACAATAGGAACTAACGTTCACCAGCTACAACGTTACAATAGGAACTAACGTTCACTAGCCACAACGTTACAATGAGAACTAATGTTCACCAGCTACAACGTTACAATGGGAACTAATGTTCACCAGCTACAAGGTTACAATGGTAACTAATGTTCACCAGCTACAAGGTTACAATGGTAACTAATGTTCACCAGCTACAACGTTACAATAGGAACTAACGTTCACTAGCCACAACGTTACAATGGGAACTAATGTTCACTAGCAACAAGGTTACAATGGGAACTAATGTTCACAAGATACAACGTTACAATAGGAACTAACGTTCACCAGCTACAACGTTACAATAGGAACGAACGTTCACTAGCCACAACGTTACAATGAGAACTAATGTTCATCAGCTACAACGTTACAATGGGAACTAATGTTCACCAGCTACAAGGTTACAATGGTAACTAATGTTCACCAGCTACAAGGTTACAATGGTAACTAATGTTCACCAGCTACAACGTTACAATAGGAACTAACGTTCACTAGCCACAACGTTACAATGAGAACTAATGTTCACCAGCTACAAGGTTAGAATGGTAACTAATCTTCACCAGCTACAAGGTTACAATGGGAACTAATGTTCACCAGCTACAAGGTTACAATGGGAACTAACGTTCACCAGCTACAAGGTTACAATGGGAACTAACGTTCACCAGATACAAGGTTACAATGGGAACTAACGTTCACCAGCTACAACGTTACAATAGGAACTAATGTTCACAAGATACAACGTTACAATGGGAACTAATGTTCACCAGCTACAAGGTTAGAATGGTAACTAATCTTCATCAGCTACAACGTTACAATGGGAACTAATGTTCACCAGCTACAAGGTTAGAATGGTAACTAATCTTCACCAGCTACAAGGTTACAATGGGAACTAATGTTCACCAGCTACAAGGTTACAATGGGAACTAATGTTCACAAGATACAACGTTACAATAGGAACTAATGGTCACCAGCTACAACGTTACAATAGGAACTAATGGTCACCAGCTACAACGTTACAATGGGAACTAATGGTCACCAGATACAAGGTTACAATAGGAACTAATGTTCATCAGCTACAACGTTACCATGGGAACTAATGTTCACCAGATACAAGGCTACAATGGGAACTAATGTTCACCAGTTACAAGGTTACAATGGGAACTAATGTGCACCAGCTTCAAGGTTACAATGGAAACAGATGGTACGCCAGCTACAGGAATAGTACTGATCTTCCAGACAAGTTGTCCTCCATCAATATTCTTTAAAATGATATACAAAGTTAGACGACGGAGAAAGTCATACTGTTTAAGTAAAATAGTTCACTATATATGCTCTTTTAAAACAATTAAGTTGACAAAAAGATATAAAATTTGATGACATACCATTTTTGGTTAGTTCAGTCAAGTCGCCATTTTGATGACAGATGACGCCACTTGGTTCAATAATGCTCCTTATCTTGTGTGGGTGTGGACATGCGGTCTCTGCTTGTGTAAGCAGCCAATCAAGCGTCAGGGATTTACTTCTGTTTGTAACAATGTAAAACACAAGGATGAAAACGAATCCTATCATGCAAAAAGGTGATAAATGATTTTTATATCTGAATTAGTCTCCGTTAGTTCGTTTAAACTGTACCAGTCTGAATACCGACACTATGTATTTACTTTTACTTTTAGCAATATGTGATGGTATTCTGAAACATCTTTCTGTTATCTACTTTTAATCATTTACCTCTCCGACAGATATCATACTCTACCGACACATGTCTCTCCTAGAGAAAAATATATCACACTCTACCGACACATGTCTCTCCTAGAGAAAAATATATCACACTCTACCGACACATGTCTCTCCTAGAGAAAAATATATCACACTCTACCGACACATGTCTCTCCTAGAGAAAAATATATCACACTCTACCGACACATGTCTCTCCTAGAGAAAAATATATCACACTCTACCGACACATGTCTCTCCTAGAGAAAAATATATCACACTCTACCGACACATGTCTCTCCTAGAGAAAAATATATCACACTCTACCGACACATGTCTCTCCTAGAGAAAAATATATCACACTCTACCGACACATGTCTCTCCTAGAGAAAAATATATCACACTCTACCGACACATGTCTCTCCTAGAGAAACACTTGTATATCACACTCTACCGACACATGTCTCTCCTAGAGAAACACTTGTATATCACACTCTACCGACACATGTCTCTCTCAGAGAAAAATATATCACACTCTACCGACACATGTCTCTCCTAGAGAAAAATACATCACACTCTACCAACACATGTCTCTCCTAGAGAAAAATATATTACACTCTACCGACACATGTCTCTCCTAGAGAAAAATATATCACACTCTACCGACACATGTCTCTCCTAGAGAAAAATATATCACACTCTACCGACACATGTCTCTCCTAGAGAAAAATATATCACACTCTACCGACACATGTCTCTCCTAGAGAAAAATATATCACACTCTACCGACACATGTCTCTCCTAGAGAAAAATATATCACACTCTACCGACACATGTCTCTCCTAGAGAAACACTTGTATATCACACTCTACCGACACATGTCTCTCCTAGAGAAAAATATATCACACTCTACCGACACATGTCTCTCCTAGAGAAAAATATATCACACTCTACCAACACATGTCTCTCCTAGAGAAAAATATATTACACTCTACCGACACATGTCTCTCCTAGAGAAAAATATATCACACTCTACCTCTCCTAGACACATGTCTCTCCTAGAGAAAAATATATCACACTCTACCGACACATGTCTCTCCTAGAGAAAAATATATCACACTCTACCGACACATGTCTCTCCTAGAGAAAAATATATCACACTCTACCAACACATGTCTCTCCTAGAGAAAAATATATTACACTCTACCAACACATGTCTCTCCTAGAGAAAAATATATTACACTCTACCGACACATGTCTCTCCTAGAGAAAAATATATCACACTCTACCGACACATGTCTCTCCTAGAGAAAAATATATCACACTCTACCGACACATGTCTCTCCTAGAGAAAAATATATCACACTCTACCGACACATGTCTCTCCTAGAGAAAAATATATCACACTCTACCGACACATGTCTCTCTTAGAGAAAAATATATCACACTCTACCGACACATGTCTCTCCTAGAGAAAAATATATCACACTCTACCGACACATGTCTCTCCTAGAGAAAAATATATCACACTCTACCGACACATGTCTCTCTCAGAGAAAAATATATCACACTCTACCGACACATGTCTCTCCTAGAGAAAAATATATCACACTCTACCGACACATGTCTCTCCTAGAGAAAAATATATCACACTCTACCGACACATGTCTCTCCTAGAGAAAAATATATCACACTCTACCGACACATGTCTCTCCTAGAGAAAAATATATCACACTCTACCGACACATGTCTCTCCTAGAGAAAAATATATCACACTCTACCGACACATGTCTCTCCTAGAGAAAAATATATCACACTCTACCGACACATGTCTCTCCTAGAGAAAAATATATCACACTCTACCGACACATGTCTCTCCTAGAGAAAAATATATCACACTCTACCGACACATGTCTCTCCTAGAGAAACACTTGTATATCACACTCTACCGACACATGTCTCTCTCAGAGAAAAATATATCACACTCTACCGACACATGTCTCTCCTAGAGAAAAATATATCACACTCTACCGACACATGTCTCTCCTAGAGAAAAATATATCACACTCTACCGACACATGTCTCTCCTAGAGAAAAATATATCACACTCTACCGACACATGTCTCTCCTAGTGAAAAATATATCACACTCTACCGACACATGTCTCTCCTAGAGAAAAATATATCACACTCTACCGACACATGTCTCTCCTAGAGAAAAATATATCACACTCTACCGACACATGTCTCTCCTAGAGAAAAATATATCACACTCTACCGACACATGTCTATCCTAGAGAAAAATATATCACACTCTACCGACACATGTCTCTCCTACACACTCTACCGACACATGTCTCTCCTAGAGAAAAATATATCACACTCTACCGACACATGTCTCTCCTAGTGAAAAATATATCACACTCTACCGACACATGTCTCTCCTAGAGAAAAATATATCACACTCTACCGACACATGTCTCTCCTAGAGAAAAATATATCACACTCTACCGACACATGTCTCTCCTAGAGAAAAATATATCACACTCTACCGACACATGTCTCTCCTAGAGAAAAATATATCACACTCTACCGACACATGTCTCTCCTAGAGAAAAATATATCACACTCTACCGACACATGTCTCTCCTAGAGAAAAATATATCACACTCTACCGACACATGTCTCTCCTAGAGAAAAATATATCACACTCTACCGACACATGTCTCTCCTAGAGAAAGATATATCACACTCTACCGACACATGTCTCTCCTAGAGAAAAATATATCACACTCTACCGACACATGTCTCTCCTAGTGAAAAATATATCACACTCTACCGACACATGTCTCTCCTAGAGAAAAATATATCACACTCTACCGACACATGTCTCTCCTAGAGAAAAATATATCACAGTCTACCGACACATGTCTCTCCTAGAGTAAAATATATCACACTCTACCGACACATGTCTCTCCTAGAGAAAAATATATCACACTCTACACAGTCTACCGACACATGTCTCTCCTAGTGAAAATATATCACACTCTACCGACACATGTCTCTCCTAGAGAAAAATATATCACACTCTACCGACACATGTCTCTCCTAGAGAAAAATATATCACACTCTACCGACACATGTCTCTCACACTCTACCGACACATGTCTCTCCTAGAGAAAAATATATCACACTCTACCGACACATGTCTCTCCTAGAGAAAAATATATCACACTCTACCGACACATGTCTCTCCTAGAGAAAAATATATCACACTCTACCGACACATGTCTCTCCTAGAGAAAAATATATCACACTCTACCGACACATGTCTCTCCTAGAGAAAAATATATCACACTCTACCGACACATGTCTCTCCTAGAGAAAAATATATCACACTCTACCGACACATGTCTCTCCTAGAGAAAAATATATCACACTCTACCGACACATGTCTCTCCTATATATCACACTCTACCGACACATGTCTCTCCTAGAGAAAAATATATCACACTCTACCGACACATGTCTCTCTTAGAGAAATATATCACACTCTACCGACACATGTCTCTCCTAGAGAAAAATATATCACACTCTACCGACACATGTCTCTCCTAGAGAAAAATATATCACACTCTACCGACACATGTCTCTCCTAGAGAAAAATATATCACACTCTACCGACACATGTCTCTCCTAGAGAAAAATATATCACACTCTACCGACACATGTCTCTCCTAGAGAAAAATATATCACACTCTACCGACACATGTCTCTCCTAGAGAAAAATATATCACACTCTACCGACACATGTCTCTCCTAGAGAAAAATATATCACACTCTACCGACACATGTCTCTCCTAGAGAAAAATATATCACACTCTACCGACACATGTCTCTCCTATATATCACACTCTACCGACACATGTCTCTCCTAGAGAAAAATATATCACACTCTACCGACACATGTCTCTCCTAGAGAAAAATATATCACACTCTACCGACACATGTCTCTCCTAGAGAAAAATATATCACACTCTACCGACACATGTCTCTCCTAGAGAAAAATATATCACACTCTACCGACACATGTCTCTCCTAGAGAAAAATATATCACACTCTACCGACACATGTCTCTCCTAGAGAAAAAATAGAATAACACAAACAAACGAAACAACACTCACAGAGAGAAAAATATATCACACTCTACCGACACATGTCTCTCCTAGAGAAAAATATATCACACTCTACCGACACATGTCTCTCTTAGCGAAAAATATATCACACTCTACCGACACATGTCTCTCTCAGAGAAAAATATATCACACTCTACCGACACATGTCTCTCCTAGAGAAAAATATATCACACTCTACCGACACATGTCTGTCCTAGTGAAAAATATATCACACTCTACCGACACATGTCTCTCCTAGTGAAAAATATATCACACTCTACCGACACATGTCTCTCCTAGAGAAAAATATATCACACTCTACCGACACATGTCTCTCCTAGAGAAAAATATATCACACTCTACCGACACATGTCTCTCCTAGAGAAAAATATATCACACTCTACCGGCACATGTCTGTCCTAGAGAAAAATATATCACACTCTACCGACACATGTCTCTCCTAGAGAAAAATATATCACACTCTACCGACACATGTCTCTCCTAGAGAAAAATATATCACACTCTACCGGCACATGTCTCTCCTAGAGAAACACTTGTATATCACACTCACCGACACATGTCTCTCCTAGAGAAAAATATATCACACTCTACCGACACATGTCTCTCCTAGAGAAAAATATATCACACTCTACCGACACATGTCTCTCCTAGAGAAAAATATATCACACTCTACCGACACATGTCTCTCCTAGAGAAAAATATATCACACTCTACCGACACATGTCTCTCCTAGAGAAAAATATATCACACTCTACCGACACATGTCTCTCCTAGAGAAAAATATATCACACTCTACCGACACATGTCTCTCCTAGAGAAAAATATATCACACTCTACCGACACATGTCTCTCCTAGAGAAACACTTGTATATCACACTCACCGACACATGTCTATCCTAGAGAAAAATATATCATACTCTACCGACACATGTCTCTCCTAGAGAAAAATATATCACACTCTACCGACACATGTCTCTCCTAGTGAAAAATATATCACACTCTACCGACAAATGTCTCCCCTAGAGATGTCTCTCTAACGGACAGATCACAATCGATCGACTAGTCTTATTGTAGATTTCCTTGGTCTTGTCCTACGGACAAACTCTGATAACACAACCTTTAAGACTTAACCCATACCAACGGGACATGTCTTCTAAGGATACAATCAGCTCACCACTTTGAACCGCATTCTCATGTTGTACAGAAGATCACAACCAAACAAGACAACAGCTCACCATCTGAAGTCGTAACCCTTTTTCAATCGTTCAAAATTTATGACATTTTAACATGAACAATTTCTCAATGATGCAAGTTGTACAACCCCAGTCTCGATCATTATCCAGCCTCTCGGCCGTTTCAGTAAACTTCATTTTACTGAAACAGCAGAGATACAGTTGAACAACACTAGTCCAACACTTACCTACATCGATCTCCCAGCAGGATCAGCAAGTCTTCTTTGCTGAGGATGTCGTTGAGATCGATCTCCAGAAGTCTCATGAACTCACTGAATGGTCTGTTCTCAACAGACTTTTCATTTAGGCCGTATACCAAGGCCAGGCTCGTTGTGTCGTCACAATATCGCTCACTGAGAGGAATTGAGGTGACTACACCTAAAAATTAGAATTTAAAAAAAAAATAAAAAAAAACATTATTCCTTATTAGTTTATAGATCATTAGAAACAACAAGAATATACTGACAACCGTAATACAATCTAAAATCTATTAAAAGAAGAGATAGCATCTTCTTCATCATCGATAAACATACACACTAGATATACCAATAAAATGATGATAATAAAACATTTTACAATGCAATGAAATACATTACCGTTAACTATGGTTTGACCGCAAAAACGACACGAGAAAATAAATCCGAGATGCTTTAAATACGTACCAATCAAAAATGCTGCAATGAAAATCATGTTGTAGTTCAAAACGTCGTCGTCTGCTGCTGTAGCGTCAACTGTCTGTTTCTGTCACAGCTTGCCGTGTAGATAAAGTACAGTTTATGTAACACAGCATCAATTTATATCGAATGAAATTTGCCTAGTCGAGACCACGATTAAAATACGTGGGCCTGCGGCCTAAATATCAAAATACAAATTAGTAGTTTTAAATGACAAACTAAGTACATGATGAACGAAATTCGCTGTATGATTGATGCAATTAGCGAGAAAATTGTTTTTTGAGCGATCAACTGACAAAAATGGTAACTAGATTTTGATTGATATTGTATTTGGCTGTAATATATTTTTTGACGTTCCATTTCATTTGTTTTTATATTTGCTAAGATAAATAATAGTAATTAACTTTTGAGTATAAAGGAAAATATATTTTCTAATTTCCAAAGTATATTATATACGCGAAACAATTTCGAATGGAAAACCAGATTTTTTCCGAGGAATTACTCTCCTACATCGAATCACACACAAAAACAGATAATAACCACAAATATGTATAACGACATACGGACTAAGTAAATGATAGAAGAGAACGAAAGAGAATGACTGTGTTTCGTAATGTACGGAATGGTTTAGCTATAAGTCTATTACGGCTATTGTTAACATGATTCAAAACCACATTAGGGACGCACGGTGCAAAATTATCTTGAATTCGACACGCCCAATTTTTCTTTTACGATTTTGTTCAAATTCAAAAGTTGCTGTCTCCTTACAGATATTCTTTCTAAAACTGGTGCAATCTACCGAAGATCGGTGACATTTCTTGTCTAGTTTGGTTTATGTTCGGCTTGTGCCATCGATGACGTATGCTTTAGTAGACAAGTATTATACGGGATGGTCAACAGATGTGTCAGTCCCCAGCGGTAGCTATGTCTAATACGAGTTGGTCAACAGATATGTCAGCCCCCCTGTGGTAGCAATGTATTATACGGGTTGGTCAACAGCTGTGTCAGTCCCCTGTGATCTATGTATTATACGGGATGGCCAACAGATATGTCAGTCCCCTGTGATCTATGTATTATACGGGATGGCCAATTGATATGTCAGTCCCCTGTGATCTATGTATTATACGGGATGGCCAACAGATATGTCAGTCCCCTGTGATCTATGTATTATACGGGATGGCCAACAGATATGTCAGTCCCCTGTGATCTATGTATTATACGGGATGGCCAACATATGTGTCAGTCGCCTGTGATGGTTTAGTACTGTAGCTATATATATTATACATGATGGTAAGTAGATGTATCAGTCCCCTGTGGTAGCTATGTATTATACGGGATGGTAAGTAGATATATCAGTCCCCTGTGCTATCTATGTATTATACATGATGGTAAGTAGATATGTCAGTCCCCTGTGGTAGCTATGTATTATACAGGATGGTAAGTAGATGTGTCAGTCCCCTGTGGTAGCTATGTTTTATACGGGATGGTAAGTAGATGTATCAGTCCCCTGTGGTAGCTAAGTATTATACGGGATGGTAAGTAGATGTGTCAGTCCCCTGTGACAGCTATGTATTATACGGGACGGTCCCCTGTGATAACTTAGTACTGTCGTTGTAATGGTAATATCCTATTTAAAGGACTGTTAATATAAACATACAGATATATTGTTACCGTTCGAAGATTTGAAGATACTGGTACATATGAAATCCACTGTTATTTGTGTGCTGTAATTGTTATTAATAGGCTTTTATTGTATGGAAATACATTTCAATGTATAATAATGTCTTTAATATATATAGTCATATACATTTAATAACGTTCTGTAATACATGTATGAAGATGTTGGTTTACCTGAAGTATATTATTACTTGTGTACTGTAACTACTACCTAGACTGTCCCTGTCTAGTAACACATATAGACATGTCTATTTCTGTACTGTAACTACTACCTAGACTGTCCCTGTCTAGTAACACATATAGACATGTCTATTTATGTACTGTAACTACTACCTATAGACATGTCTATTTATGTACTGTAACTACTACCTATAGACTGTTACTGTCTAGTAACACACATAGACATGTCTATTTATGTACTGTAACTACTACCTATAGACATGTCTATTTATGTACTGTAACTACTACGTATAGACTGTTACTGTCTAGTAACACATATAGACATGTCTATTTATGTACTGTAACTACTACCTATATACTGTCACTGTCTAGTAACACATATAGACATGTCTATTTATGTACTGTAACTACTACCTATAGACTGTTACTGTCTAGTAACACATATAGACATGTCTATTATGTACTGTAACTACTACCTATAGACTGTCCCTGTCTAGTAACACATATAGACATGTCTATTTATGTACTGTAACTACTACCTATATACTGTCACTGTCTAGTAACACATATAGACATGTCTGTTTATGTACTGTTACTACTACCTATAGAGTGTCTATTGTCTGTAACACATATAGACATGTCTATTTATGTACTGTATTTACTGTACTACCTATAGACTGTTACTGTCTAGTAACACATATAGACATGTCTATTTATGTACTGTAACTACTACCTATAGACTGTCACTGTCTAGTAACACGTATAGACATGTCTATTTATGTACTGTAACTACTACCTATAGACATGTCTATTTATGTACTGTAACTACTACGTATAGACTGTTACTGTCTAGTAACACATATAGACATGTCTATTTATGTACTGTAACTACTACCTATAGACATGTCTATTTATGTACTGTAACTACTACCTATAGACTGTCACTGTCTAGTAACACATATAGACATGTCTATTATGTACTGTAACTACTACCTATAGACTGTCCCTGTCTAGTAACACATATAGACATGTCTATTTATGTACTGTAACTACTACCTATAGACTGTCTCTGTCTAGTAACACATATAGACATGTCTATTTATGTACTGTAACTACTACCTATATACTGTCACTGTCTAGTAACACATATAGACATGTCTATTTATGTACTGTAACTACTACCTATAGACTGTTACTGTCTAGTAACACATATAGACATGTCTATTTATGTACTGTAACTACTACCTAGACTGTCCCTGTCTAGTAACACGTATAGACATGTCTATTTATGTACTGTAACTACTACCTATAGACTGTTACTGTCTAGTAACACATATAGACATGTCTATTTATGTACTGTAACTACTACCTATAGACATGTCTATTTATGTACTGTAACTACTACCTATAGACTGTTACTGTCTAGTAACACATATAGACATGTCTATTTATGTACTGTAACTACTACCTATCCTATAGACTGTCACTGTCTAGTAACACATATAGACATGTCTGTTTATGTACTGTTACTACTACCTATAGACTGTCTCTGTCTAGTAACACATATAGACATGTCTATTTATGTACTGTAACTACTACCTATAGACATGTCTATTTATGTACTGTAACTACTACCTATAGACTGTCCCTGTCTAGTAACACGTATAGACATGTCTATTTATGTACTGTAACTACTACCTATAGACTGTCTACTGTCTATTATAGACATGTCTACTGTAAACTACTACCTATAGACTGTCTACTGTCTAGTAACACATATAGACATGTCTATTTATGTACTGTAACTACTACCTATAGACATGTCTATTTATGTACTGTAACACATATAGACATGTCTATTTATGTACTGTAACTACTACCTATATAGACTGTCTATTGTCTGTAGTAACACATATAGACATGTCTATTTATGTACTGTAACTACTACCTATAGACATGTCTATTTATGTACTGTAACTACTACCTATAGACATGTCTATTTATGTACTGTAACTACTACCTATAGACATGTCTATTTATGTACTGTAACTACTACCTATAGACATGTCTATTTATGTACTGTAACTACTACCTATAGACATGTCTATTTATGTACTGTAACTACTACGTATAGACTGTCACTGTCTAGTAACACATATAGACATGTCTGTTTATGTACTGTTACTACTACCTATAGACTGTCTAGTGTCTATTTATGTACTGTAACTACTACCTATAGACATGTCTATTTATGTACTGTAACTACTACCTATAGACTGTCATGTCTATTATATGTCTATTTATGTACTGTAACTACTACCTATAGACTGTCACTAGTAACACGTATAGACATGTCTATTTATGTACTGTAACTACTACCTATAGACTGTTACTGTCTAGTAACACATATAGACATGTCTATTTATGTACTGTAACTACTACCTATAGACTGTCACTGTGTAGTAACACGTATAGACATGTCTATTTATGTACTGTAACTACTACCTATAGACTGTCACTGTCTAGTAACACATATAGACATGTCTATTTATGTACTGTAACTACTACATTTATGTACTGTAACTACTACCTATAGACTGTCACTGTCTAGTAACACATATAGACATGTCTATTTATGTACTGTAACTACTAATAGACTATAGTAACACATATAGACTGTCTATTTATGTACTAGTAACACATATAGACATGTCTATTTATGTACTGTAACTACTACCTATAGACTGTCACTGTCTAGTAACACATATAGACATGTCTATTTATGTACTGTAACTACTACCTATAGACTGTCACTGTCTAGTAACACATATAGACATGTCTATTTATGTACTGTAACTACTACCTATATAGTCTACACATGTCTATTTATGTACTGTAACTACACCTATAGACATGTCTATTTATGTACATGTCTATTTATGTACTAACTACTACCTATAGACTGTCACTGTCTAGTAACACATATAGACATGTCTATTTATGTACTGTCTATTTATTTATGTACTGTAACTACTACCTATAGACATGTCTATTTATGTACCGTAACTACTACCTATAGACATGTCTATTTATGTACTGTAACTACTACTTATAGACATGTCTATTTATGTACTGTAACTACTACCTATAGACATGTCTATTTATGTACTGTAACTACTACACATATAGACATGTCTACTGTACTATAGT